ATGAGAATTTAATTAGGGTTTGTTATCCAAAGGCAGAATCAATCTATTTACAGAAGGTGGCAGTGTTCATACGTATTAGCTCTGGACATCCTGGAAATTAATGGAGGCTGCCCAAGTTTTGGTGTTTTTCTTTTTCTTTTTGAACGAAATTATACCTGTCTGAATTGGTACAGACAGTGGATCTCAGCAGGGCTGGTTTTCTGTCCTCATTTTTGTTCAGCTGGAAGAGGAGCAATCTTACAGGGTTTGGGTTGCCTGTTTCCAGGACCAATCAGCATTAGAAGCAACAGATGTACTAGCTTCCAAGAGTAAGAAATCTAGTCTGAGCTCCAGGAGATACAAGTTCACAGTGCCAGACCAATTTTGAGATTTGCTTTTCCTTGAGCCTGATCAGTACTTTCCTTCCTAGAAACATGGGTGCATTCTGGTCTTTTACCTCGCACATACATAAATAAGTAAATAATGACATTCTTGTTTTTTTCAGAGGATTTATGTTCTCAGTTGTTTTACCTTTTGTAGGCCGGTGATGTCACTTGGTAGCAGGATAAACATGCTGAGGTCATTATTGACGTAAGGGAGCTCAAGAACGTCAGTCTGGACTGATTCTATGTAGTTTGAGTGAAATTTATCCCTCAGGTACATCATGGGCACTGGTTTAGTTGTATGCTGCAACAAATCAAGTTAAATATTCACCGTTTTTACTCTGAATGGTAAAGGACTGAGTTAAAGTAGCACAATGGAAGTTTATTGTATTTACTCTACTAGCTGCCCAGCATGTCTGAGACATCCTTATGGCTCCAAGTAATAGGACACAGGATCTGCAGAGGACCCCCTGGTCTTCTGGAAAGGCCCTTGGAGGCATGGCAGGTTATCTGAGCTGTCTGAGATGACACCCATTATAGGAAGTTGTATTCCACTCTGATTTGCCATATAGTTAAAAATGAAAACGTAAAGAACTAACCCATACAGTTTTATTCACCTCTGTTTTTTCCTGCCTTCAGAAAATGGAAGCTTGTTTCAAGTTAGCTTCTGACAATTTTACTTGTGGCTCAGGGCCTAGAGTGTGTGTGCAGCCTTGGTGCTGAAGGTGTAGTGAAGAAAATACACTGTATGCTTTAAATGAAGTATTAAATGAAATAACTGTCATGCTACATGGATTTAAAGAATGAGAGGAATTTCTCTTCCCCATCATTTTTGTTTTTCTCACTTGCACAGTAGGAAATAGGGCAGTATATTCCCATACCATGTTTATCCTGAAAGGCCTTTGCCTGGTAGCTTCAGCTTCAAACTTTGTTGCCCAGTTTGCTTTGAAGTAGAGCGCATTTATCAGGACTAGCCTGGTGAGTGAATCTACGG